TTTGCCTAACCTCACGTGTTGTTTCCTATCTGTTAGAAAGCTGATTATCCACCTACAGGTAGGGTCAGGCACAGTAAGCTGGATCAGTTTGTTGTAAAGGATTTCTGGAATAATAGTATCAAATTCTGAGCTGAAGTCCACAAAAAGAACTCGTGCGTAAGACTCTGATGAGGGTAGAAGACAGAAGACAGATACATCTATGAATAATAGCAACTGGTAGTCTGACAGACATCCACAGAGAGAAAATGGGGTTCACAGAGAAAGAGGGGTGCCCAAGATACTATGGGTAGAATCTTCTGCCTTGGAGGAACCCGATATTTCCTTCCATTTTTGCTCAACTAGTGATCTGCTTCTATATTCAGGAAAATATTACACAATGTCTTAATGGTGATGCTTTTAACAATTCTTATAGAAGGGAATATATGTAGCTCAGGGTTGAACTGTAGAGTCCTTGGTGCTCTCTGAGCTTGGCTGTCTGCTCGCAGACGTTTCATTACCCAACTAGGTAACATCATCAGTGCAAGGGAGTTCTGTTGGTCAACTCCCTTGAATGTTTATGGCAAGAAGAGGGAATTTCTAAAAAAGCCCTCAGCACTCTCTTTCCATATTGAAATGAAATTCCATTAAATTGCCCTAGAATATTTTACTACTCAGAGGAATTGAGAGCATCTAACAACATAATTGTGCTCTTATTATGCTAGGAGGAAAATTATAGTGATCCAAGCCTGTTCCATCTACAAAGACTTACAGACATTTCTATTAGCATCTGCAGCTTCAGCAGTTTCCATCAAAGATGAGATGAACTTGGAGGCAACCTCTTGTGGGCTATCAAAAGTAAATGGCTCTGGGAAAGAACAGGAAGAGGTTGAATTAGCAACAGAACATCAAAAGATGATGCACAAAAATAGAGCTGATTTTTACGCAAACCACAATTAAAATATTAGGAAGGGAAGTTGCACATTCTGCTGCCCTGGGACCCTTTGTGACAAACATAGAAGACTCTCTGGTGCTATCAGTCTGGTCCATTTTATGGACATTATATATGCCATTATATATGTAATTAATATACTAGTGTTCTATACAGTTTTTAATGATGCATTTAATCTCTATGGTTTTTAGCAAAAATACCCTGTTATTACTGAAATGTTCTTTGAGACAATTTTCTCTACTCCCATTTTCTTGATGTCCTTTTTTTTACATAAAGCTTGCCTGCTTATTTATCTGATAGATATCCACCACAATCAAAAGACTCTTTGATAGCACAAATCTAATAAAACAGTAAATGAATTCCCCTGACTGTAAATACATGTATAAGAAAGTTCCCCAGGTTAAGTTTCTTCCCTGGTTTTGTATTCAGCTTTCAGACAATTGTTATTTTTCAGATGCACATTCCCTAAAATTATATTTATTGTGAATTTTTGACTGGTTTTGAAGGCTCTGAGATTTGTCCCAATCTTGATGTTGAAACCACAGTGTTCATTAGGGTGAAGTTCATCAACTAGCTTCAACAGAAATCTGTGGCTTATTTTTTCCCCCACAGATTTTTTCCCACATTTTTTCTAAGCTACTACATAAAATCTCATTTAAATCCTGCTTCCTGCTAATTGTGAAATAGAAAGGTCTTAATACGCTAGGAAGAATTTTGTAAGGAGGATGACAAAGCAAGTAAAACAAGAGAGAAATCCATTCATGGTCACCTAACCATGGTTTGGACATTATCTCTGAAGCTTGCCTCTGACCCACCCCCTGAATGCAACAACGAAACCAAACTGTATGGAAGGTATGGTATCGCTACACAATAAATCTGGTAATCAGGAACCCCTCTCACAGTCCCAGGGTTCACATTTTCAGCATTTAACCCTAATTTTCAGCTCCCATCAGATATTCCATCCCCTTTGCTCACGCCAACACTCTGGTTCTGTTCCACTCCAGATTCCTGATTCTTGGCAAGTCCGTTCAGAGGATCCCACAAGAATGAGACTACTCGCACAACGGTAGCGGACCCGGTACTCTATCCGATATTCATTGCCTTCTTTTTGGCCACCAATCGGAATACCTGGGTTAGGGCAGTGGCCACCTAAGCAGGAGAAGAGAGGACACCATTATAAATGGTCATTTTGACAATTTATCATCATGAAATATGTAACAGCATGAAATAACAGCAAATATGTTGCTATGTATGTATAAAATATCTGTCAGAACTCAAAAAGCCAAGAATTAAAGCTACATTCTTAAAGCTAAGAATTCTCTAAGTTGCTAATGACTTACACTTTTCTTATTTTTTTCAAGCATCCAGAGATTGCCTGTTTTTTAATCTATCCAGCGGGATAAACTGATTGACAGGTTTCTCTTTTAAGTAGTATCTCAATTGGACCAGAAACTGAATTCTTGCATGCTGATTTAGTTAATTTAGAGATCCTAATTCTCCAAGTAATTCTTCTGTTCAGCAAATTAAGATAGAGCTCATTTCTGGCTAAGTGTAAGGTGACCAACTGAGTATAGAAGCTGATGGAAGACAAAAGCCGACGCTGTCTTTTCAAAGACCAAAAAGAAAAGGAAGTCTAAAGTGAGAAGATTGGCAGGTCTTGCATGCAATTAACTGTCACACTCACTTCCGTCTTCACATATCGTTGTTTCTCCACTCCATTTCCCATTGGGGAGGCAGGTGCGGACTTCAGACCCCCCCATGGAGTACCCTGAGTAGCAAGTAAACGTGATCTTCTGGCTTACATTGTAATATGCCTGCCAGGGCTCATAGTCACCACTTGCAAATTCTAAAATCCTGTGGCAACGAACATCTGAAAGGAATAGCAGACATCAGTAGGTAGGATGGAGTACTTCATGGTCATATTCTGTAACTCACCCCATCTCAACAAATTAATCCTCTCCTTCTTGAGCTATTTGAGCATTCAGTCCTAAGACTGTGGACATCTGAAAATGGGCAGAGGTGTTGACAAGTTCCCCTAACTGGAACTCAATACCTTATCACAGACCTTCAGACTTTCCGTGGCTTGACTTGGTTCCTAGGCCAGAACTTGGCCAAAATTTCACAGTTGTGGCTTGGCTAGAGACAAATCTTCATTAGAAAGAAAAATGAAGCCAAGTAAAACAGTTGATAGCCTACTGCCAGATCATACATGTAATCTACCTGTTGCCTTTAGCCAGTCAATCAACAAATACTTTGTACCCAAGTATCAAATACAATTAACTTAACATAGTCAGGGTGGTTACATTAACAATAACTGGGCCCTTGACTTAATAGCAATTAAAAAAAAGTAAATAATTTCTTCCTGGGAATCTCCAACATAGTGGATCTGTAAATTCCTTCCTTATATCCCGATGGAAGATGCAGCCTAGGAAAACATGTGTCAAGGGTTTCAAGGCACCATAGTCACAGGGACAGATACCAGTAGTGGATTAATGCTTCGAAAAGTTCTTATCTAGGACTGATGAGAGAAATATGTTGAAATGGGCCTTTGTAAAGCAAATCTGGAACTGGGAAGTAACCCAGCATGGCTGTAGTGGGGCTGACAATGGCCATGGGTAGTGATGTACAGATGGTTATCATCATTGTACTGATGATACCTCACCCTGAATCGACAGACGATGTCCCCCAATGGTTTTATGTAGATATTAAAAAGAATGGAGAGAGATTAGCATGAAGCATCCCACAGTGAAGTGGTCAAGGGCTCAACCTCTTCTACCCCCATCTCAAACTGGAACTACCACTCCTGAAGGAGCAGAACCATTGCTAAACATTGCCCCTAACCCTTACAGGCAGCCAAAAGGATACCATGGTTGATGATATCAAATGTTACTGAGAGACCCAGCAACAGGAGAAGCAAGGAGCAGGAGAAGCAAGACTGTACTTCCTCCATTCAGGCCATACTGCAGGTCATCCATAAGAGCAACCAATGGGGTTGCCTGAACCCAGACTGAAAGGAATGTAGAAAACATCCATGATCTTCTGTAGTTGTCACCCTACCACAATCTCTATCACCTTCCCCCTAAGGGGACAGTTGGAAACGGGGCAGAGGTTGTCCAGAATGGCTGAACCAAAAGATGACCTCTTCAGAAATAAACACACCCACTACCTCTTTCAATGCAGGAGCACCACCCCTTTCTGAAAGAGGCATTCACCCTAAGTTGTGTTCAGGAATAGCCTGACAGGTAACAAGCGTAGAGCATCTCTGTGGCTGCAACATCATTGGTGGCACCTCAATACACGTTCAAGCAGCCACTTACATCCGCTTATCCCAATCCCACCATTAAGGAGAGTCGCAGATGGTGGTTTTAAAGGACCACACATTTTCTGGCCTTGTTATGGAGGTAGAACAGGACTTGGCAATAAGGGCCATCCAATTTATATCTACACATAGAAAGTATTTCCTTTGATGTCAGACAAAGTTTGATGAGGAAAAAGATTTCCATCATGAGAAGATACCATTTTTTGATGGTAGAGCTGTTAGGGCAGATCTTGGGAATAAATGCCCAGCATCCCTGGTAACAGAAATAAGCTTCCGGTAGGCTTCAGGGCAGCACCACTAGATTCACAGATTTGGAAGAACTCCCCAAAACTATGAGCTCCAGAACATGACATCCCCTCAGTGTATCATTGCTTTCAAGGCCAACTGACAGGGTCTTTCTTTTCATTTAGAAATTATGAATGCCCTCATACCTCGGCAACGGGCCTGGTGGACGATCATTTTATTTATGTTTCTCATGGTGCTCCATCTCGTTCCACTACAAATCCGGTACTCGGTAGGATATGGGTATTGGCCATTTGGGCATATATACTGAAGCGCTGTGCCGTTCTCCAGCACTTCTGTTCTGCCTCCTAAAATGTTGAATGGTGTGAGGTTTGTGACATCGCAGGCAGCATCCACGTCTTCTGGTGGGAAGAAGCACAAGAGAACATTAAAAGGATTCCAGTGATAACCTCTTTTCTACGTCCTGAGTGGCCAGCCTCTAGGCTGTATGAATTTTATTTTTGGTTTTGATGACTGCAGGTCAATCTTGACTCCTGGCAACTACAGGGATAAGTCCATGCAGTTTTCCTGGCAACATTTTTCAGAAGTGGTTTGCCCTCGGGCTGAGGGAAAGGGATGGGGCCAAAGTCCCCCAGCTCTAGCTTCATGGCTATGGCAGGACTCACAGACTCATGGTTTCTAGTCTAGCACCTTTAACCAGTACCCCAAACTGACTTTCTAAACAAACCAGGGTTTCTCAACCTTACCAACTTTAAGATGTGTGGACTTCAACTCCCAGAATTCCCCAGCCAGCATTTCTAGTCTAGCACTTTTAACCAGTACCCCAAACTGACTTTCTAAACCAGTGTTTCTCAATTTTAGCAACTTTAAGATGTGTGGACTTCAACTTCCAGAATTCCCCAGCCAGCATTTCTAGTCTAGCACTTTTAACCAGTACCCCAAACTGACTTTCTAAACCAGTGTTTCTCAATTTTAGCAACTT